CAAGCAGAACATTTTGTATTTTATCCTGGAGGTGATAGGGAGCCACTGACGTTTGAGGAGGGAGGTGGTGATCAGAGCTGTGCTTTAGAAAGGTCACTTTGGCAGTTAGATGGAGGATGGACTGGAGTGGGGAGAAACTCAAGGTGGGCAGAGCCCCTAACAGCTACTACAATAACCCAGGCTTGAGGTGATGAGGGTCTGCACCAGGGGGATTGGGGGTGGGGGTTGGGGATGGCAGTGTCAGGGGGAGAGAAGGGGGCATATTCCAGAGATGTTACAAAGGTAAAATCTACAGGCTTTGGCAACAGATTGAATATGGGGGCAAGAGAGTTAGGAGTCCAGGATGACACCCAGATTGTGAGCCTGGGGGACTGTGCTCTCTACAGTAATAGAGAATGCAGGAGGGGGGGAGGGGGGGGGGGGAGGAGATAACGAGTTGAGTTTTGAACATGTGGAGTTTAAGATGTCTATGGTGACATCCAGTTCAAGACGCCCAGGAGACATCCCCCAGGTTAGAGGGCATAACCTGGCTGAAGATCCAGCTAAGAGTGAGAAGGTGGCCAGACAGGTAAGAATAGAACCAGGAGACAGCTATGTCCAGAACACCTTGAGAGAAGAGGGTGATTCAAAGGCTGCAGAGAGGTAGAGGAGGATGAGGACTGAGGAGACCGCTGGGTTTCAGTAGAATCATGAAATGCCAGGCAGCAGAACGTTAAGGAGAGGGTGAGAGGACAGGAAGCAGAGGGATCTCTTGTGGATGGCTTTCTAAGGAGTTTAGCCACAAAAGGGAGGAGAGATACGGGATGGGAGCCAGCAGACAGTGAAAAGACCAAAAATAAGAGAGAGGGATGGGGTCACTTGTGTATGTAGCGGGGGTCAGCAAAGACAAGAACCTCCTCATTATGCACGATGGGGGGAAGCCTGAGCTGATGGGGGAGAAGAGAAAGCTCTCAGCGAGTGTCCTCAAGTTTCTCAGTCAGATATGGGGCAAGAGGGAGGGAAGCTATGGGAGATCCGAGGAGGGATGAAAAGGTCTGGAAAGGATGCTGTGGTGAGTGGAATGGTGAGTCAGGGAGATGAGAAAGGTTGCCTTGCTGCAGCGAGGGCCCAGTGAGGTTATGCAACACAAGTTTGACTCAGTCCCCAGGTTTCCTGATTTTCTCCAGCTTTGTTCAGAGTTACCAGAATGTCGATTGGGTGTTAGAGACGGATTGAGGGAACCTCAGAGGAGAAGTTAATGAATTACAGAGGTGGAGGGAAAGCCTGGAAATGACAATGGCGAACAAAAAATATTCCAATCCCCCCCCCCACAACGCATTGTTGGTGGAGTTGTGAAATGATCCAACCATCCTGGAGAGCAATTTGGAACTATGCCCAAAGAGCTATAAAAATGTGCATACCCTTTCACCCAGCAATAGCACTTCTAGGGCTGTATCCCAAAGAGATCATACAAATGGGAAAAGGACCCACATGTACAAAATATTTCTAGCAGCTCTTTTTGTGGTGGCCAAGAGCTGGAAATTGAGAGGATGCCCATCCATTGGGGAATGGCTGAACAAGTTGTGGTATATGAATGTAATGGAATACTATTGTGCTATAAGAAAGATGAGCAGGCGGACTTTAGAAAAACCTGGAAAGACTCGTATGGACTGATGCTGAGTGGAGTGAGCAGAACCAGGAAGAGGCTGTACACAGTAACAGCCACGTTGTGGGATGACTTAACCCTTCTCAGCAATGCAAGGATCTAAAATATCCCCAAAGGCCGCATGATGGAAAACGCTATCCACATCCAGAGAAAGAACTATAGAGGTTGAATGCAGATCGAAGTGTAGTATTTGCTATTTTTTTTTTTGTTGTGTTTTGTTTCCTCTTTCTGGTGGTTCCTCCTATTGGTTCTAAATCTTCCTTACAACATCACTAATGTGAAAATATGTTTAATAGGAATGTATATATCTAGCCTCTATCAGATTGCGTGCTGTCTTGGGGAGGGAGGTGAGGAAGGAAGGGAAGAAAAACTTAAAACTCAAAACCTTATGGAAGTGATTATTGATAATTCACAATAAATTTTTTTAAAAAGTGCTTTGAAAAATTAGTGTGCATTATCCCTTTCAATCTCTTTCTTTCTCCACATATATATCTGGATGTATATGTGGATAGATGGTTATCACAAACACATACATATATATGGAGAGTGTAAACATATTTCATGCATGCTACATAGATACACATATATGAGGTTTCTGTGTGTGCACATATACATATATTATGTTTTTTTCTTCCTTTTAAGTTTTTGTTATAAGAGATGATTTACTGGGTAGGAGAGGAAAAGGAATATTCAGAAATTAAAGCGATATCAAAACAAAAAAAATTCCAATTTCCCTCCCTTAACCAGTGGCGGGGGCCAGAGTGGGGTGAGGAGGGGAGGATGGGTGAAATTTCATTTAAGTATATTTTTATGTGTATTTGCAGCCAGTTCTGGAAAGGGTGGCTAGGGAGGTTGCGCCATCGCAGGAAAGCCGGAAGATGAAAGGAGTGGGAAAGGAAAAGATTTAAGCTGAAAACAAATTTGTTCCCCTTAGAACAATGTTTTAGAGGGCACAGTGGAAGGAGTGGGGAGCAGCAGAGGACTGAAGAGGATGGGAAAAAGGGAGAGGTCAGTGGAGGATGGAGAAAGGATTTGTACCAGGGGCTCACTGGGCTGGGGAGGATACAACCAGATGGGGGCTCTGCTAATCACTGCCAGAAGAGTTCAGGGGGGTGAATAACAGTTGTTAGGCGGCTTAGGTGAGGGCACCAGTGGGAGAGCTGATGAAATAGCATCCCCCCCTCTGCCTGCAAGCATGCCAAACAGGGAGGCGGGCAAGGAACGGCATCCCTCTGTGCCCTGCAAGCAGCCGGGGAGACCAGCACCCAAAGGTGTCTCTCTTATCCCTTGAAAGCTGGACTAGGCCAGGTCAGGTGACCTCCCGGGGCCCCAACTAGACTTGTCCAGCACGAAACTCGCTATCTTTCCTCCACACTCTCCCATGAGCATCCTTCCAGGCCCCCAGACATCATCCTTTCCTCCTCATTCTCCCTCACCCACCAAATCCTACTTGCCGCTAACTCCCTGTGATTCTACCTTTGAAACATCTCTCGGATTCGCCCCCTTCTCTCCTGACTCTGCCCCTTCCTCACCTACCCCTGCATTACTGCAATGGGTTCTGACTGGGTGCCCCACTCCAGGTCTCTCCTCATGCCATTCTACATGACCAGTAAACCCGATCACCTCCAGGACCCATGCTCAAATCCCTCCGACCCCTCCAGACTTCTTACACTGTGTTCCATGATCTAATGATCTCCCCATTTTCCTGATTCCCCCCCCCCCCCAGGCGTTCCCGGTTTCCTTCTATTCCCTCTTCAAATCTCGGCGTCTGCCAGGAACGTGTCCCGCCCTGCCTTCTGCTGTCGCCTGCCCTCCGAGGCGGATCCCCCCAATTCACCCCGCCTTTACAATCTTGGATGTGTGCAGACTTGTTCGCATGCGGTGTCCCCGTCAGACCGAGAGCCCATGAGGCAGGGGCCGTCGGCCTCGCGTCCCGAGCGTTAAGCAATGCTCGTCGAGAGACCGATTGACTGAAGAGGCGACCCCCTGCTCTGCAGCGGTGACCCCAAGGACCATGGGCCCTCCTATCGCATTTGCGGCCGAAGTCTTCTCCATGCCAGATCTCCCCCCATTAAATGGCTGCTCCGTGAGGGCAGGGGCTGCTTCGCGCATAGGAAAGGCTTAATCGTTTTATCGCTCATATGCACATGATCACCTGGGCCGAGGCAGGGCCCGGGGGGTGCCATCTCAAGCCGCCATTCACCCCCCGGGCTCTGGAGGCGGCTCCTTCTCCTTTCCACCACTCCTGTTCGATTTCTCACAGAGCGCTCCACAGGTGTTCACTGGGCAGTTGAGGCCAGATAGACGGCTGGACTGGGAGTCAGGAAGACCCCAGTCTGAATTCGGCCTCAAACCCTGTTTGACCTTGGCCAACCACTTGCCCTCTGTTGGCCTAACAGCACCCCCCCACTCACAGGGCTGTCGTGAGCCCGAGAGAATTGCAAGAGCCGAGTGAACCGCACTGGCTCCATCTTGTGACTCAATTCTACTTACAACATCACTAATGTGAAAATACGTTTAATAGGAATGTAAATGTATAGCCTATATCAGCTGGTGCGCTGTCTTGGGGAGGGTGGCAGGGAGGAAGGGGGAGAAAAATTTTAAACTCAAAAGCATATGGAAGTGATTGTTGATAAATCAAAATAAATTAATAAAAAAATGATAAAATAAAAAAAGAATAGAAAGCAGGCCAGTGGACTTAGAAAGAGGCATCACCGGTGGCCTCAGGGAGAGCAGACTCAGCAGAGCGCTGGGACTTTGCCAGGGTAGAGAAGGGAGTGCCAGGCGAGGAACAGAGGTAACAAGGATTTTTTTTCAGAAGCTGGGCTGTGAAAGAGAGACTTCCAGGATGATAGCTTGAGGGGACGGCCCGCTCCAGGGAAGAGGAGTTCTGGGCTTGGAGAAGTTCGTGGAGAAGAGGAGTTCGTGGCCAGGAGAAGAGGTCGCCCCTTGGTAGAGACTAGAGAATGTCAAGGTTTCAAGGTGAAGAGTCCCTTACAGGGGGAACTCCTTAGACTGTGTTCCGCCAGCCAAGTGCTTTTAAAAATATCAGCACACAATAAACACACCCAGGTCTTGCATTCTTAACACTTTTCTGTCACTGATTCAACCATGAAGATTCGTTCTATCGGGAAATGTTCTTGTGAGAGCTTACCTCAATACCTGAGTGTCATTCAATCAACAAGCATTTATTAAGTACCCTCTCCATGCAAATACACAGAAGGAAACAATCCCTACTCACTGGGAGCTTGCATTCTTTTCTTTTCTTTTTCTTTTCTTTTTTTTTGGGGGGTGAGGCAATCAGGGTTAAGTGACTTGCCCAGGGTCACACAGCTAGTAAGTGTCAAGCATCTGAGGCCACACTTGAACTCAGCTCCCCCGTCTCCAGAGCCAGTACTCTATCCACCACGCTGAGAGCTTACATTCTAACCAGAAAACCATAAATACACATAACCACCTACCTAGCAAGCTTAAAGGGCATGTCCCTTCGTTCTGGGAACATTTGATCAGCTACTGTTTTCAAGGAGTACTTTGTAGGGAGGGTTGTCTGTGTCTGCTGAGAAGTACCTGTTGTGTCAGAGAAAATATATCAGACTCAGCCTCTGAGAGATGCTGCTCAGTCTTCCCCATGGCAGTCCCTCCTCCCTCCAGCCAGGTAGATCACAACTCAGCCTGTGCAGCGCAGGTGTCCCGGGCCTCCCAGGAGCTCTCCACACACAGGCGTCCCCAGATTGGCTTTCCTAGGCTCAGCCTTTCCTCTCACTCCACCACTGTTCCACCTTTCTGCAACGAGATCTTCTAGACTGCTTCCTTTTCCTTTTCCTCCCTTCTAAGGGTGTAGCAGTCAGGCTGCTCTTCCCACCCCCTCCCCCTGCACCTCTTTCTTGCCCTCTGGGTCATCCTCAATTGGAAGCCTGTTCTCTGACCTGAAGCCACACAGCTTCCATCTGCTGGATGTCCTGAATCGCAGGCCTTTCTTTGAGGGAGAAGCTTGTGGTCAAAAGGACTGCACAATGTCCCTAAAGCAGTCCAACTGGCTCTCCTCCCGCTGGTTAACCCTGGGCCTACCTCTTTGTCCACTGAGGGTATTTGTCAAATATCCACATGCTTATGGAGAAGCCTGTGGGTTGCCCATCCAACTGCTGAACACAGTCTGAACAACAAGTATCTTTCATCTACTCATCCACTTGGTGTTTCCTCTGTGAATAGTTAGGCTGAACTCTTGAGTTGTTCTGGTGAGGAGGCTCTGAAAAGTTTGAGAGTTTGATGCAATCAGCATGACACATCCACAAGCTGTAGCACCTGGAGGACCTTGCGTGGAATTCCCTCCATGATGGTGGCAAACACCTCTCCCTGTTTCTTGCCTCATCTGATATTAACACTGTCCTGGCCTAAACAAGTCACCCCTCTGTTATTTCTTTCAAGAAATCTATTATGTTGACATATACATGAGAATCCTCAAGGTGGTGTTTGCTAGTACTTTTTCTTTTTTCTTTCTTTTTTTTTTTTAAGGCAATTGGGATTAAGTGACTTGCCTAGGATCACACAGCTAGTAAGTGTCAAGTGTTTGGTCTGAGGTTGGATTTGAACTCAGGTCCTCCTCACTTCAGGGCCAGTGCTCTATCCAGTGTGCCAGCTAGCTGCCCCTCAAATGCTTTTTCTAAGTCAACACATAAGGACAATGGGATATTGTATTCTGGACATCTTTCAGTCAACTCAGTATCAATAAAGAGATGGTCTGTTATAGGATGTCACCTGCAAAGTCTGCCTATTCCTTTAACAAAGTGGCCTTGAAGAGACTTAGGGCTGATCAGGGAGGAAGAGTGATAATATCTAGAACCACCCTAGAAGAGGGTCACCTTCATGGTGGGCGGGTCTTCTGCTGCAGATTCATTAAGAGACAGACCAGAATTACCCTGGATGAGAAGGATGGAAGATCTGTGAGTCACACCCTGAGACAGGCCCATACATCAGTGAGGTCAGATATCCACTGGAATATCAGATTTTTCTCAGAGATGATTTTAGATGGAGAGGTGGAAATAAGGGAGAAAACATTCCTAATAATCTAGACCTCTTCTGTACACAGAGGATGATGTCATCTGCCAAGAATGTCGTTCTGGGCAACAGCCTGGGGACTTGAGGCCAGTGGAGAGTTTCGCATACTCTGGGAGGAAATGAACAATGGATGGCCAAAAGGAAAGTCAGACTATGGAAAGTTAATGAGAAATGCAGATCCTGAAGGTCTGTACTGATAACAGCAGAGTAGGGAAATGGCCAAAGACTGTTCTGGCTGTCCTGTGTGTGGGAAAAGGCAAAAGAGCAGCATCTCAGATGCAGAAACGCCAGGAGAGCATCCCTTTCCGTCATCCTCGCTGTGTTCCAGGCATGAAGATGCACATTGGGTTTTGTCCTGCTATCCAGAATAAGCTGGCATTCTATGATCTGAGCTGCCTGAGCGTATCTGGCCCTCCTTGCAGAAAGGGGCTGGATTCAAGATGCAGGACATAATACACATTTTTGGACAGAGGCAACATGGGCACGGCTTGGTGGACTATGGGTATTTCTTATAAGGGTTTGGTTTTTCTTTTTAATTGGGAGCAGGAGGAAGTTAAATGAAAAATGAAAAAATAAACAAAACCAAAATTAAGGGGCTGGCTATGAGAAGGCTTCCGGTTCCAAATCTCCGAGCTCTTCTTTCCCCTGAGCATTCCACAGACTTGAGTAGGAAAGACACAATTTCCCAACAGATTTTGTTCTGCACAAAGTTTCACTGCCTGGAATTATGTTGTCGACCTCTTACCAGTTCTGAAACTCTTCCCCACAGAGTTCTGAAAATGACTTTCTGCATGACGTGGCAAGCAGAGGAAAGTGGCGGGTAAAAATCGATGGGTCTGGAGACTTGTTTTCCCTTTGTTTTAATCTGGGTCTCAGCAGCACAGCCTAAAAGCCAAGTTTGCTACTAGCGCCCCCCAGTGGCAGGTGGGAGCATAGTGGCTCGGGGGCGTGGGGCCGTCTTCCAGGTCAGGCTTTGCATCCCGGCAGCAGTGCTCGGGTCTCAGCCCTCACACTTCATTCTCTAGCTGCCATCAACCCTACTAAACATGGCAGGGTTTTGTCCATTTCAGATTCTTACCCCTGGAGGGGGAGGAAGGAGAAAGCGTAGCGGGCTCTTTCCTACCCTCTCCAAAGCCTGAATGAACATGGTTACCCCGCGGAACCTGAACGCTGACGCTGGGAAGAGGTTGGATAAAAAGCATTTCTTGCCTTGATCAAATTCATCCTCAACCAAAATACAACATATTACTTTCCTTTTTTTCAATCAAATTAACTTTGGGTTTGGATATAAACACATTTTCTCAGTATTCAAAGACCAAATTATTGTTAGGCAATGAAATCTAATAAAAACTGAATTAGAAACAGACAAGGAGCCACAGGGCGTCTGATCTGAGACATTCAGAAAATGGAATAAGGCATAGGGGAGATATTCCTATAATTTCTTCCAATATCCATCCACCACACTGTGACCCTCCCAGGAGCCTGGGTACTAGAAGACAGACTGCCTGTCCTAAGCCACCATCAGGAAGTTTCCCACAGTCCCTCCAACAAGGCCTGCTTCATATACAGAGATTCTGAGGCCGTGGGATTTCATGGTATGGGTGTTCTTGTACACCAATGCAGGCCACAGTTCCTGGTCAGAGAGTGGCTGTGGCCCAGCCTAGCATGAGGGGTTGCACTGTGCTGAGCCAGACCCAGAGCTGAGACAGAAATGACCCTGTAGCAGCCCCTTCCTAGGGCCAGAGAGACAGACGCAAGAGGCTGCATCTTGGCTTCACTCGCAAAGCTAGACCACTGCATTCTCCAAAAAGTGCTAGAAACCCATGCAGTCAGTTTTTAATCCTCAACTGCCCCATTAGATACACAGGTCCTAATTATTGCTAGAAATAAACGTGCATCAGGTGCTGTTCTGTGCCTCGTTTCATTTTTGGACAATGTCCTGACCACAGGGCTTTTGAATCACTAGACATCCTGAAGCACAGAATAAAAATTATTTCTAACCAAGAACACTCAGGTCTGGGCACTGAGCTCCAGAATTCCAGGATGTCAGAGAAGGAAGGCTTCTTCCAGGCCATGTGGTCTAAGCCTCCCATTCTGCAGAGGAAGAGACTGAGGCCTAGAGAAGTGACTTCTCCAAGGTTACAGAGCTAAGGAGAGACAAAGCAAAGGCCCAAATCCAAGCCTTGCAACTAGAGGTCAGCTTTTTCCTCTTATAAGCTGTATGAAATTCTCTTTCACCAATGGCTAGAACCAGCCCAGTGCTTAATTAACTTAATTAATGTGATGACAAATGGGAGGTAAATCTTATTCCTTTAACCAGAATCACCAAGAATTTGAAGGCCAATATGTGAAATAAGAAAGCTAATTTCATATCGTTATGAGGATTATAGATTTAGAACAGGAAGGGGCCTTTATGGGACATCAAGTCCAACACCCTCATTTAACAGAGGAGAAAACTGAGGCCTGAGGAGGGAAGTGCCTTGCCCAAGGTCACACAGGTTCAAGGTAAGAGAGGGAGGATTTGAACTCAGGGCTTCTGAATCCAAAGCCAGTGTTTTCCCACAATGCCATGATGCTTGTCCCAGTCCATCTGGAAATAACCTCAGGCTGCCAAAGACCCTCCCATGAGGGCCAGGAAGCCATGAATACCCCGCACAGCAGGGGCTTTACCGACCTAGTTCAACCTGTGACTGAGGCTCTTTTCTATTTGGCCCACTGTCTTCTGATTCACTTGGTTTCCCCAATAATTCTGTAATTATAATTATAGTCCTGTGCAGTTTATTTTGTGGACTTAAAGGCCTTCCCTGGCAGACTGCCCAAGGTGAAGAAGCCTGGTATTAGAGGAGCATGCGTCAATCAGGACATACATGAGGAAAACGTGAGATTGACAAGTCCGGGGATCTTAGATATAGAGGATTAGAGCTTTGGGTCTGATGCCCTCATTTTAGAGAGGAGGAAACTGAGACCCAGAGACTGGAAGGTCACATGTCTCCCAAGAAGCAAAGGCAGGACTCAAACCTTGGTCTCTTGACTTGAGATTCTCAACTCTCTTTCCAATACATTGCACTGCAGATACTGTGTTCTGAATAATGTATTTGAAAAAGGAGAGGGCTTTGGAAAGGTCAGACTAAATGCTTGTAAAATCATGAAAGACCCACATAAGGCAAAACAGGTCGTTTCCATTTCAGACAATCCCAAGGACCCAAACTGCCCTCATCATTCCCCCCGGGGAGCGGTGCCGTGGTGATCCCAGCAGGAGGCAGCACCAAGGGCCCCTCTGGCTGCTTGGGTGAACAGCGTGGGCACTTACACAGCTTGGAAGGGCGGCTGGAGGCTCCATTCCCTTCGTGTGGCCTTCCTGGCTTCGATGGCTCCAAAGCTCATTGGACAAGATGGAGGATGCTGGATTAGGCAGTTGGTAAACCAATCAGAAAAGCAAAGCTCAACATTCCCCAGCACCAGGGAATCCCAGAATCCTGGGGCTGCCTACTCAGCAGGGCAGTGATCTGGGGAAAAGATGCAAACATTGTCGTTGGCATTTGGAATCTTAACTCTTGCTACTTAAGTACACATTCAGCCCTCCTTCCCCCCAACCAAGCTCCAGGACTGGAGGGGCAGCATGGGACTGGGGCACCCAGAAAGATGTGGATGGGGAACAGGAGGTACAAAAATAAGGTCCACAAGGAAGGAGGGAAAGAAGGCAAAAGGGACCGAGGAAAGTTCATTTGGCTGCAGTGAAGTAACACTGGGAGATGGGGACGGTGAGAGAGCTGAGAAAGGGCAGCTTAGGGCACAAGCCAGCTTTGTGTTGGTAGAAAAGGCAAGGAGGTACCAGGAGAAACCGACTTTTTGCCAGATAAGATCTCAGAAATAATGGACCATTATCACTTGTTTGTTGACAGAAGAGAGACTTGCTGAAAGAGACAAAGTGCTGAAAATAAAAGGCTGGGGGAAGGTCTGTTTGGGCCCCTGGTGGCTCCTGGGCCTGGCTAAGGACTTGTCTAAGCAGACAGCTGCACTGGCAATGTGGGGGAGAGGAGGAGCCCCAAAGGGGAGTATGGGGGGGTGGAAAGAGGCAGAAGAGGTACCAGAATGTCCTCCCTTACTTCCTGTCTGCTTCCTAATCCTCACCTTTCATTTCTTTCATCACCTCATTCTTCTTCAAAGTCTTTCTTCCTGATATATGCTTAGATACACAAGCATTGACTCTGGGCACCTCAGTCTGGCATCTTTTTCAAGGTTTCTTCATTCTCCGCTCTTTGATTCTTCAGGATTTCCACCTGGAAGCTGCCTTCTCCAGCCCTGCTCCCCCACCCCTGGCAAGGACTGGCTCCATGCTGTCTAGCAGTACTGCTACCCCACCCTTTCGTGTCTTTTCTGAGAATGTGCCCCAGAGCCCCGCACTTCCATCTTCCTCCCTTGCAAAGCCCCCACCAAGCCCAATCTTTCTGTCCAAGTTGCCCCCACCCCTCCTGGCCCAGTGCCTTCCTTCGTGACCCTGGCTGTTTCATCTGCTCTCTCTCTTCTGTCTCTTGCCATCTATCCTCCCTCAGGCTCCTTCTCCACCTCTCCTCCTCCATCAGCGCCCTGGAGGGCTTGCTTCTCTTCCTCGGCCCCTTGACTAAGCTGCTCCCCTGCCATCATTTCGTGGGCATCGCTCCTCACAAGGCTTTCTTCCTCGTACTCTCTCTGGTTCACATAGACTTCCTTCACTCCCAAGGCTGTGGTGGCTGGGCTATCTGTGGTGGCCTCAAGTTCTAGTTCCGAGCATTGAGCCCCGGTCCCTTGGGAAAGGTTACCTCCCTCAGAAGAAAACGATTTATTTACTTCGTTCCATTTCAACCTTCCTTCCTCCAGAACTTCTCCTTCCTCAGCCCTTTTCTCGATCATCTCGATTTTCTGGTTGTCAACGCCTTTCTCCTCCTGACTGGGAACTTCTGCATGCTCCAGCAACTGGCCCTGGCCTTGGTCCTGAGGCTGCTTGCCTTCTTCCCCAGCAGCCCCCGCCTCTGGGGTCTTCTCGCCTTCAGTCCCCCGGGTCTGCTCCCCTTCTGCCCCTGGGGTCTTCTCCCCTTCTGCCCCCGGGGTCTTCTCGCCTTCAGTCCCCCGGGTCTGCTCCCCTTCTGCCCCTGGGGTCTTCTCGCTTTCAGGCCCCGAGATCTGCTCTCCTTCTGCCCCCGGGGTCTTCTCGCCTTCAGTCCCCCGGGTCTGCTCCCCTTCTGCCCCTGGGGTCTTCTCCCCTTCTGCCCCTGGGGTCTTCTCGCCTTCAGTCCCCCGGGTCTGCTCCCCTTCTGCCCCTGGGGTCTTCTCGCCTTCAGTCCCCCGGGTCTGCTCCCTTTCTGCCCCCGGGGTCTTCTCGCCTTCTGCCCCCGGGGTTTGCACGCCCTCTGCCCCGGTAGCCCCCGCCTCCGGAGTGGCTGGTGCCCCGACTTCTCGTGGTTGCTCGCTTCCCTCGTCCTTGCAGAGCTCCCGTCCCGCGGGGGCCCTGGCCGGCTTCTTGGAGGGGGGCGGGGGCGGCGGGGCTGAGGGCTGGGCCGGGGGCTTGCCTTCGCGCTTCAGCAGGCTACAGCCCAGCACCTTCAGTGGCTCCCAGCTATACTACACCCTCTCGTGCATAATCTGCACGCATTTCCGGGCCTTGGGGGACGAAGACCAAGACGAAGACGAGCTGGCGACCGACCGACCGATGCCTCGGACTCCAGCGGGGAGGCGCGGGTGTTAGCCCACTGCGGTGCCTTTGGCCGCGGCCGGGCCTGCTGCCAGGCGGACAGGCGGCGGCCTTTCACCCGCACGGCCGCGGAGCGGCGCTGGTGGGCGTGGCCCTGGCCGGCCATCGAGGGCCGCGGGCGAGGCGACGGTTTGGCCTTGGCCGGGGCCGCGGCCGGTTGCCAGGGCTCCACGCTCCACCAGCTCTGCCGGGGCGTCCGGGCCGGCCCCACACGGCCAGGCTCCACGGCCTCAGCGTCAGCCGGGCCCCGCCTCTCACATCTAGGACTCCGCCTCCCCGCCCCACGGCCAGGGCCACACCCGCACCCAGGCCGTCCGGCCGGGGTCCGGCCTCCAGGCCGAGCCCCCCCATAAGCTCGAGCCCTGCCCGGGCCGGCCCCGGCCTCGCTTCCGCCTCCGCCTCCGGACCCGCCCGCCAGCGCGCTCCCGATCCCGCCCTCCCCCAGCCCTAAGGCGTGGGGCCGGCGGGCGGAGGGGCGGCGCAGGCGCAGCAGCTCGAGCCGGCTCCGCGCCCCACCCCTGCCCTGAGGGGAGGTCCCGCGCCTGCGCACCAGCTGCCTTCGGACCGCCGCGGGGAGAAAGGAGCGGAAAGGGGCGGGGGAGCAAGGGGTGGGCTCTGGAGGCTTTGTAGAGCGGGGCCTGATTCCTCGTCGTTATTTCGTCTGGGCATCCCCAGTGCCTAGTAGAGTGCAAAACACATAGCGGGTGCTTTACTGAGCACTGTTCATTAATGCTTGTCCATTGATTGATAAGGGAGGGGGTGAGTAATAGGGAGGAGAAGGACAGAAGGGGGAGGGGGATTCGGGGCAGACAGGAAGGGAGGGGCTGTGGGCCAGGAGTAGGGAGCTGTGAAGAGCCGCCAGGCGTCTACACCCCCGGAGGCGTGGGGAGCACAGCTTGCGGAGCCTGCCGGGGGAGGGCCGAGGGGAGAGGAGGGAGCTGCGCCGGGGCCTGCGTCCTCCCTGCCGGACTTGCGCTTGGACTCCAGCCCCGCCCTCTCCCTGCTATCCGCACTCCCCTTTACGAGGCGGTACCTGCTGCTGGGAGGGACAGACGGAGGAGCCAATGAAAGCACGGAGACAGGCCCCTCCATCCATTCAGAGAGCGCGGTGGGGGCGGAACCTGGCGGCCTCCCCCGCCCTCTCCAGAGGACTCCCTGGGGGGCGGGGGTGGAAGACTGGGTCGGTGCGGATCTGGGCGGACGGGAAGAGGGAGGACGGGAGGGTTGCAGGGGACGCGAGGGTCCCCTAGGGTTGGGGTGCGGTCGGGGTAGAGGAGGCGCCCAGGAGGCTAGAAGCTGGCCCTCTTCTTGCCTCCTGTAGAAGCAGAAGAGAGGTGGCGCAAGAGGACCAGTGATGGAGGAGAATCCGGACCCAGGGGAGGAGCGCCAGGTAACGGGATGGGTGGATGGGTGGATGGGTGGGTGGATGGGTGGATGGTGGATGGGTGGATGGGTGGATGGGTGAATGGTGGGTGGGTGGATGAGTGGATGGTGGATGGATGGATGGATGGGTGGATGAGTGGATGGAAGGATGGATGGATGGGTGGATGAGTGGATGGGTGGATAGAAGGATGGATGGATGAGTAGATGGAAGGATGATGGAAGGAAGGATGGATGGATGGATGGATGGATGGATGAGTAGATGGAAGGATGATGGAAGGAAGGATGGATGGGTGGGTGGATGGATGAGTAGATGGAAGGATGATGGAAGGAAGGATGGATGGGTGGGTGGATGGATGAGTGTTTGGATGGATGGATGGATGGATGCCTCTGGACCTTTGCCAGGTTTGCATGGAAGGGCCCAAGGCCAGGGAGAGAAGGGCTAGGGTGGGGATCCCAAGGACCCATCCTCACTTTTGATCCCAGGGTCGCTCCTGGTAGTAGGGAATCGGGAGGGGGCCCTGCAGGTGGGAGGGTCAAGGCAAGGGCAGCTCTCTCCAAAGAGCAGGCACGGAGGACCTTGGATGACACCTAAGACAAGCTCAGTTTACAGATGAGAAAATTGAGATTCAGAGAGCCGGCCAGGGCATGCCCAAGGTCAGGCAAGAAGAAATCAGCAGAGCCAGGGTTCAGACACCACATTTCTGGCTCCAAGTTCTTTGCTCCTCCTCTTCCCCCCCCCACCTCCAGGCAAGACCCAGGAAGAACCAGTCACATCCTCTGATGGAAATCCCTGGACTGAGTAACCTAGTGGAACAAGAGGGAGATGCCCAGGGGAGACCCTCCCCACCCACCTCTTCTGCCTCCCCCTCAGGCAGAAGTTGTTGCTATCTCCCAACAGCAGATCTGGCAAAGAGCTCTGGCTGAGAGCAGGCCCAGCTGGTCTCCAGGGACCCCGACTTGTAGGGCCAATCAGGGAAAGGACAGACAAGAGACTCAGGATGGTGAGGCAGAGGAGGAAGGTCAGGAGAGGGCGATCTCCTGATGGCTGGAGAGGACAAAAATGTTCTTAGAACAGAAGAAATTGGGGAGACCAAGTGATAAGAGGCAGTGCCCGGGAGGAGACAGAAGCTGCACCCAGGGACCTGGATGGGAAACAGGATGTGGAATTCTATTTGATTTAAACAAGTCAAATACAACTAGCACTTACTGAAGGCCTACTCTGTGCATGCCACTGTAGTAGGTTCTGGGGGTACAAAGACAAAAAATGAAAACAGCCCCTGGAGTCAAGGGGCTTCCATTCTACAGAGGACAAACAATGTGTTTGCGTGTGTGTGTGTGTGTGTGTGTGTGTGTGTGTGTGTATACACATGCGAAGGGGTGACTGCTTAAGTATGTGTACCTTATTATTTGTTGAAGTGCAGCCCCCTGCCTGAAGTACCACCATTAGAGAGAGTTAGTCCTTTGGGCTGAGCATCCTTCTCCAGGTTGCTCCCCAAGTCACTAACAAACACCTTAGCTAGTGGAATTAGCCAATCAGAGCGTTTTCCTAAATCAGTCAATCAATGAGCATTCATTAACGGATGACCTGCCATATGCCAAGCACTTCATATCCATAGACAGAAGGAAAACCATTTCTTCCCTTGAGGAGCTTGGAAGAAGGGGAGGAGCTGGGAGCTGCGGATTGGGGCCAGGCAAGATCCACAGCTGCAGGGTGCTCCCTTCCCCCACAGCCTGGGGTCTCTCTTGTGGGGAGGGCTTGAAGGAAGAAGAAAGAATGCCACACATCCTTGCCCCCCTTTATGGTTGGTTCCAAAGCATATTCACAGACACAGATCCTCATGAAACCTTCCCGAGGCTGGTGGGTCTGAGGAGACTGATATGGAAAGGGTCCTGCCCCAGATGGCTTGGCTAATAACAATAGGCATTTAAGTAGCTCTTTCAAAATACTCTGCACTTGGACCTCTTATCTCGGGGAGCCTCACCTTGATCATGTAAGGTGAACGATACGATGAAGAAACCATGGTCGCAGAACTAATAAATCCAAGGGGCAGAATTCATAGCTGGATCCCAGGTCCGGCACTAAGATCCAGATCTCCCCAAACCCTGCCTGAAAGCCCGCTTCTGGATGGATGAATGGACAGTGTACCTCCTGAAGGGCTGAATGAAGGGGAGTCTTTGTGGTATTAAAAGACAATGGAGGGGGGGCAGCTAGATGGCACAAGTGGACAGAGCACTGGTCCTGGAGTCAGGAGGACCCAAGTTCAAATCCGACCTCAGACACATAACACTCACTAGCTGTGTGACTCTGGGCAAGTCACTTAACCCCAATTGCCTCACGTAAAAAACAAAAACAAATAAAAGGCAATGGAATGGCTTCCTGCCCCCTTCTAAAGAGGAGTGATGCTCTCCAATCACTGCTAGGGACTTGGGGCCCAATGAGTGACTGGGACAGGGGCCGCTGAGGATGCTCTGGGTTCCTGGGGGGTGTTGAGGTTGAGAGTAGGACAGTGGAAAGGGCCCTAGATTTGGTGACAAGATCTGGGGTCATATCCCAGCATGCACCACTCAGGTGACTGTGGCCAAGAGCCCATTTGGAAACCTTGTGCGAGGGCCCTCCTAGGCCCAAGTTCACTCCTTGGTGCTTTTCTGGGAGGACTCCCAGGATGCAGGCTAGGGAGGAAGACGAGGGCAGGTGGGCCACACCAGGGCACCCGCTCACTGCCTCCCCCTCTGCAGCCCTGCTCCGTGTCCGTGGTTCTGCAGGGAGATGGCGCCTTGCAGGTGGAGATCTCTGATGCGGTCAGCGAGAGGGACAAAGTGAAATTCACAGTTCATACCAAGGTGAGGTTGACACTTCCCTATACGGAGTCTCCACCTCTGTCGCTATACCACAGACTTATTCAGGGGGTCAAGGGACTCCAGACCAGTACTAGGCCCCACCCACAGACAACATTCCACCGGGGCTAGAGGCCCCCTCTCCCCACCACAGACACCTGTGCTCGAAAGCAAATTCTGTCAATTTTTAGCTTCCTGCCATCCTATTGAACCCCTGGCTTCTGGCCCTCAGCCCCTGGCTCTTTCCACTTTGGACCGGAGCCCAAAAAGGATTGTGGGAAGTGTCCCAGAGCAGAACAACGGGGGAGGAGGGTGTGAACAGGGTTTGCTGGTCCTGAGGGGGCGTCAGCGGGGCTGACCTTCCCTTTCAGAGCTGCCTGCCACACTTCAGCCAGACTGAGTTCTCTGTAGTTCGGCAACACGAGGAATTCATCTGGCTTCACGATGCGTACACAGACAATGAGGACTACGCGGGCATCATTGTGAGGACCAGGGCTGCCTGGGGGGAGCGGGAAGGGGTGGGGGGCTCTGGGATCCTTGGGGGACTTCTCAGCTTCTGTTTTGAGCAGATACCCCCAGCGCCCCCCAAGCCAGACTTTGAAGCTTCCCGGGAAAAGCTGCAAAGGCTGGGGGAAGGTGACAGCTCCGTCACCAGGGAAGAGTTTGCCAAGATGAAGCAAGAGCTTGAGGGGTGAGACCTCCCAGCATGGCTCATCCCCTCCTGCAGACGCCTCCCCACCCCTGCCCCACCCTGCCCTGCCCTGCCCTGGCCAGGGCCCCCACACAAGACAGTGCAGCGGAGGCATGAGGAGGATGCAGGCTCAGGAGGCCGGGAGACCTGGGTTCTAGTCTCCTCCAACATGCACCTTTCTCTTCTCTGGGCCTCAGTTACCCGCTCTGTAAAATGAGGTTAGACTCGGGGTCCTCCCAGGTCCTTTGCACTTAGGAGTAACTGTGAGGCTTTGGGAAAACACCTACAAAGAATGAAGCAATTCTTACCCTCAGGGAGCTTACATTCCACGGGAGATGGCCCCACTCCTCCTTTGGACCACATTGACTGACCCCTTTAATTAACCATGAGGTGTTAATTAACAATAAGAGAAGATGTCTCTTTACAGCGGACTTTCCTCACAGCCGCCCTGGGAAGTGGGTAATAAAGCCTGACTCCCCCCATCTGGGGGCAGCTAGGTGGCACAGTGGTTTGAGCACCCAGCCTGGAGTCAGGAGGACCTGAGTTCAAATCTGACCTCACACGCTCACTAGCTGTGTGACCCTGGGCAAGTCGCTTCACTCTGTTTGCCTCAGTTGCCTCATCTGTAAAATGAGGTGGAGAAGGAAATGGCAAATCACTCAAGTAGCTTTACCAAGAAAACCCCACATGGGGTCACAAAGAGTTGGGCACAACTAAGAAATAACTCAACAACCGAAAAAAGCCCCCATTTTGCCGGCGCAGAAACTGAGACCAAAATGGATTAAGTCACTTGACCAAGTTGTAGTAAGGGTCAGAGCAGGGCAAGGAAATCAGCCCAGGCTTCCACCATTCACACTCCAGGGTTTCCTGCAGGACACCACAGCACCTCTTACCCCCGAGACTGCTGGGAGAAAGGGAAATGTGTATATACATGTATGCATGTATATAGACATACGTGTATATATACACATGCGCACACACACATACATATATATATACATATCTTACTTTCTCCTACTTACTTACTTTCTCCGCCTCCCTAAATCCACATCCACTTTCAATAGCCTGGCCTAGAAAGTGGGTGGGGGTGGGAACGGGGGAGGGCATTACCCCTCACTCTACTTTTGCCGTCAGAAAAAGTGGGGCAGCTGGTGGCAAAGAGTGTTGGGCCTGGAATTGGGCCTGAGTTCAAATACAGCCCCAGACACTGTGTGACCTCAGGCAAGTCACTAACCTGTTCGCCTCAGTTTCCTCAGCTGCCAAATGGAGTTAACAGCAGCCCCCACATCTCCGAGTTGTTGTGAGGATGGAATGAGGCCAGCACGCAGGAGGTGCTGCATAAATGCACATTTCCTTCCCCCAGGGAGTATTTGGCCATCTTTAAGAAGACAGTAGCCATGCACGAAGTATTCCTGCAGCGCCTGGCTACTCATCCTACTCTCCGGCGGGACCACAACTTGTATGTCTTCTTGGAATACGGCCAAGATGTGAGTTGGATTGGGGGAGGCCTGAGGTCGCCCGCTGGGCCTGCCCCGGTCTGGGCTTGGAGAAGCACCAAGCAGCCAGCAGAGAGGAGGCTGCCAAGGCCCAGGCCAAGGCCCAGCCCATCCCTCTTGCCTTTGTCCCAGCTGAGCGTTCGTGGGAAGAATAAAAAGGAACTGTTTGGCGGCTTTATCAGGAACATCGTGAAGTCAGCAGATGAGGCTCTCATTACCGGTGTGTCAGGACTGAAGGTGAGGGGGGTCCCAGACCCCCAGCGTTGGGTGGAGTGAGAGCACAGGGTCGGGGGCCAGAGTTGGGCGATTCCCAGTGGGACCCTGGCTAAGCTGCTTCACCGAGGGCTCAGGCCTCAGGCCTCACCTCAGAGATCCCCTGGGGCCCTAAACCAGAGGCCTCTGGATGTTGGGCCTCCACCTGCCCTTCACTCTCTCCTTGGTGACCCCAGCTGTCCCCTCCTCTCTACTTTGGCCTCCGTCCTAGGAGGTGGACGAATTCTTTGAGCACGAGAGGACGTTCTTATTGGAGTACCACACTCGCATCCGGGATGCCTGCCTGCGTGCGGACCGGGTCATGCGCTCCCACAAGTGTATGTGGGGACCCCCCTAAAAGGACCTGACACCCCCATTTCCCCACCCCAACAAAGTAACAGACCTGGGGGACCTGCTCAAGCTCGTGCAGCTGGTCAGTGCCACAGAAGGGACTAGAAGTCACCCCTCACGGCAATGGTGTTTGCCCCCCTTCCCACCCTGGCCCAAAGACCCTCTACTGGACCAGAAGTGTGGAGCAGGAGGCTCTGACGGTGGGCATGTCTCTAACAGGCCTGGCTGAGGATTACATCCCCATCTCTGCCGCGCTGAGCAGTCTGGGCACACAGGAAGTCCACCAGCTAAAGACGTGAGACACCCCCTCCCCAGTGCCAGGCCCCTTCCCCCTCTGTGCCCTTCACTGTCCCCGAAGCGAGGTCTTGGGTAACCAGAGGGTGTGGGGGAGGGCGTGTGTAGCCCCAGCCCCAGAGGATGCCTTTGGCTAGAAAGCAGGCGTCGGGGCCCCTCGGTAAGGGCCTATCTCTCTTCCTCCTAGGAGCTTTCTCAAATTGGCTGAACTATTTGAACGTCTGAGGGTGAGAAGCCCTTCCTACTGTTGGCTTGGCCTCTTCACGGAGGTTCAGAGATCTGTCGGCCTCTCTCCTTCATGGTGGGAGAGGAGGGAAGTTGCACAGCACAGGGCCTGGCTTGAAAGTTGGGGAGATGGGGGAGAGGGCATTTGCCCAAGGCTCAGAAATCAAGTGTTTGTGGGGGCGTGGCATGCCAGTGCTGGTCAGTGGGCAGTGTGGCTGGTGGGGGCCAGGCCCCCATGCTGCCACTTTGGAATAAGAAGGAACCATGTTTCCAGGTACCTCAGTGAACATCCTAGGGCACAGAGATACTCTCCCACCCCCCAGAGCATCCCAGCCAGGGGAGGCCCCAAGACATGCTGGCCCCTCCTTTCCTTGTCCATCTGTCCCCACAGAAGCTGGAGGGCCGAGTAGCCTCGGATGAGGACCTCAAACTGTCGGACATGCTGCACTACTACATGAGGGATGCACAGGCAGCCAAGGTGAGAGCTGTTCCCAGGCCAGCTGCCCACACACAGGCCTTCCTGACCCATCTATCGCTGTCTGTCTCCCTGCAGGACCTGCTGTACCGGCGGCTGAGGGCACTGGTGGACTATGAGAACGCCAACAAGGCCCTGGACAAAGCCCGAATGAGAAACCGGGAGGTTCGGGCCGCGGAGACCCACCAGCAGCTCTGCTGCCGGCGCTTCGAGCACCTGTCCGACTCGGCCAAGCATGGTGAGTGAAGCGCCCTGCACCCTGTGCCAGAGCGGCCCCCAGCAGCGCGGCCCAACGCTCTCTTGTATTCTCTGGCTCAGAGCTCATGGACTTTAAGGCTCGCCGGGGATCTGCTTTCCGAAAGAACCTCATCGAGTTGGCGGAACTGGAACTCAAACATGCCAAGGTGAGGGCACCTCTGCCCTGGCCCCAGGGAAGGTAAGAGTAGGGCCTCAGGCCGCCCCCGGGGCTACCATCCGGGGGCCATCCACCAAGTGCTTTCAAAATGGCACAAAAGGCCTTTTGCCACTTCACTTGTCTCAAAGCGAAGCCCTGCGAGAGGCCGACCGTAGGTACAATTGCCATCTCACAAAGGAGGAAACCGAGGCGCACGATGTCAGATAACAGGGGTGTCAGCATATGCCAGTATCACGCTGTCTCTTTACTAAAGACACTTGGCCTCAGTTTCCTCCTCTGTAAAACGTCTCTTTGAGCCCTCATTGCCAGGGTGATGAGGACGTCTCACCTGTCACTCGTAATCCTTGAGTTGGGGAACTGAGGGAAGGAGTGTTGAACACTGCCCCCCCACCCAGAGCAGCACCCTGTTCTCTCTTCCCCAGGCCAGCACGCTCCTTCTAAGAAACACCCTCATTGCCCTCAAGGGAGAACCCTAGCATCCTCTCCTCCCTCCCTGGCCCAGTCCTGAACCCCAGCCCCAGCCTTGCCCACCCCACCCCTGGGGAAGGAGCCACAACACTTGGCAGAGGGGGTGTCCAGGCCAAGCCCCGAGCTCCCGGCTTCCAGAGAAAGACTGCCTCAGACCTACGGAGGTCAGACGCGCCAACGCCAGCAGTGTCTGCCCTCCGCTAACGGAAATAAAGGTGCCTGCTTTGGACCCTGCATGTCGTGTGCTCCCTTTGAAGCAGCCATGGGAGCGAGCTCCCCCATAACGGGCTCATCTGGCAGAGCTCCTTCGGGCCTGGCTCGAGGGAGAAGAGCCTGAGCCTAAGCCAGGGCTGTCCTGCAGCTCAAAGGGCACCCATCAAAGGTGCCCAGGCAACAGCTAGGCCAGAACTCGGGGGAGAGACGCACCAAGGGAGCCTGCCCTGCTATGCTTTGCTTTGCCCCGCCCCCCTTCTCCTCCTGCCCAGCCCAGAAAACAACCACCTGCAGAACAGAGCAGCTCACCTTTTCTTTATTTGTCTTTTTTTTTTTTAATTGAACTTTCCTTTTACTGGCCACATGAGTAACTGGGGGGAGGGGAGCTGGCTGTGTGGGGGAGGGGGTCTCCACAACATTCCATTTATACACAAAACTAAACAACAAGCACAATGCCACTATTGCGGTTAGAAGTTGGCAGCACCGGGGAAGGGGTAAAAGGGGGTGTCAGTTAAAAAAAAAAATACTGGCCTCCCCCCCATCTGGGCGTTCGGGGGGGCCTTGGTCTGCTACAACTCAAGAGGAGTGAATATCAAAGGCGGCTTGGGAAGGCCAGAGCCATCAGGGGAAGTGGGGGAGGTCAGGGGTCGGGGGCGGTTTGGCAAATGGGTGAAGGGATTGCCCTGCCCCTGCTAGGATCCCCCCAGCCCCTCGGGTCTGGCAGGAAGGGGGCAGTCTGCTCCCCCACTGGGCTCGGGCAGCCCCAGCAGGGGGCCAGAGGTGGGAGACTCACAAGGGCTTCCCCTCCAGGGAGATCACGGCATTGCCCCCCAGTTTCTCAGCCAGGGTGCAGCGGTCCTTCACTTCCTCGTAACAGTTGGCTTGTAATTCGTGTTTGATTCCTGCAAGGAGGAAAGGAGATGGGGGTCACAGCCAAGGAAGGGTCAGACCCACCCCCACTTTACAGATAAAAACCCAATCTCGAGTTTCCAAGGTCCCACTACAGTCAGAGTCAGGCTCCTCACCCAGTTCTTCAGACCCAACGAAATTCGGGCTTGCGCGCCAAAAAGGATCACGCTATTGGAAATGCCATCTCTCACACACGCGCGCGCGCACACACACACCTGGCAGTTTCTTCTTGATGGCATCCTTGGAGCTCGCATAGATCATTTTGCTCTTGAGGGGGGCACACTCAGGGGCCCTAGCGAGAGAGACAAGGGTCAGAAAGCCCCCGGCTGGCCGGTGCCTGCCCAAGGCAGGGGGATAAGCTCGCCCCTGCAGGCCCGGCACCCCAGCCTCACCAGAAGATGAACACCAGGTCCTCCTTCTTGCTCTCCTTGGTCTCGTAGGTAGCGTCATAGAGCGCGTAGCGGCAGTCCTTGTCTGGCAGCATCTTGACAAAGGTGGTGTAGGGGTCGTCCACAGTCTGCCCCACGTCCCCCACGAGGATCTCCTTGCCCTCCTCCAGAACAATGTTCTTCTTATCCTCGCTCAGGCAGAACAGCACAGCCTTCTTGCGCTTCTTCACCTCCTCGGGTGTTGAGGACTTGCGAACTTTCATGTCGTTGAAGACCTTGATCACCCCATCTGACACAGCCACCCCAGAGGCCTGTGGGCAGGGACAGTCCGGTGAGGGAGAGGGCATGCTCTCTGGGCCCTTCCCATCAGGTTCAAAGGAAACGCCATTTGCTTAGTAGTAAGAGGAGAATAGTTCACGGTTTGCAAAGCGATTTTCACAACCCTACCCCCCCCCCCCCCATGCAGAGGTAGAGGTGCCGCATTCCCCATTTTACAAACAAGTAAACAAGAGGCCAGATGACTTTTGCCCAGAAGCAAAAACTAGCCAGGATCAAAAAGATTTGAACTCAGGTCTTCCTGACTCAAGTCCAGCTGCCTTCTCCCTGACCCTACTACCTCAAAGACACAGAGGAATGTGGGCACATCACCAGAACTCTTAAGGCAAGTCACTGGCTCGTGCCCAAGCAAGGAGGTCCTGACCCGGGGAACCCCCAGCCTGGCCAGCCAGGGAAAGCCTGGATCCCGGTTCCAAGATTCCCCAAGAGCCCAGCTGTGACAACAGCTCCCTTCTCGTCCTAGCTATTCCGGTACTTAGTGCCCTAAGGGACCACAGATCTAGAGCTGATAGAAGCCCCAGAGATCACCTCGTCTACACTGCCCGCCGGGCCCCCCCCCAGGCTAGGACACCTGCCCAAGGGGAACGTGGAGAAAAGGGCCAAGAACGCCGGGACGAGGCCCTCTCCAGCCCCCGCTTTTCAGACAACTGTCCAGGGTGGGACCATGTGGATCCTCGGACCCCGTGGGGGTCCTGCTCTGATGCCCCACCCTAGCAGAAGCAGGCAACGGGGGAGGCTTTCACCCCACTACCAGAAAGGCCCCGAGGAAGCAGGTGAGAGGCGTGACTTCGCTGCCGCTTCCTGAGTGGGAGGGGAGGGGAGGGAACCTGCCCGGGGACGATAAGCACGGCAACCCCTCAGGAAGGGGGGAGGGGTCCGGCCCAGGCAGGCCGCAGACTCCCCCCTTTAAGCCTCGGAGCCCCCCCAGCACGGGTCGGCGGAGAAGAGTCATCCTCGCTCAGAAAGGGCCAGGCCGCCCCAGGGCATCACGCCGTGCCCGACACCCCGCCCTCCACCAGCTGCGGAGCCGCGTGCTCTGGGCCGAGCGCGCGCCCCCTCCCTTTCCCTTCCTCCCCCTCCCCAACTGCCCCATGGTCTGTTTCAGCCCTCGGAGGAGCGCGCATGCGCGACGCCCCCGAGTACAGGGGCCGCGTGCGCCCCTAACCACCCCCCCTCCCTTCCGAACACTTAACGGTTGGGAGGGGGAGGGTCGCGCGCGCGCCCGCTTCGCCCAACAACCGTCAACGTCAGACGAGAGCGCGCGGGAGGGGGGCGCCGTCGCGCGCGCTCGCCTGGCCGCCCGGCCACCCGCCCGACGCGCCGCGAGCCCCTCCACCGGTCAGCCGCCGGTCTCTCCCACGGCGCCCCAGGAGGGGGAGGGGAAGGGATGGGGAGGAGGATGGAGAGGAGGATGGAGAAGAGGATGAGGACGCCGCCCCGCCCGCTGCACCGACTCCACCACCCCCGCTCCCGGGCGCCGGTCCCCTGTGGAGCTCTCTGACCCGCGCTCACCATGGTTCCGGAAAGGAGCGAGCGAGCGAGGGAGGGAGGGTGAGGGAGGAAACGAGGGCCACAGGAGAGGAAGGACTCGCTCCTTCGCCGCCGCTGCCTGGAGCCGACTGAACGCGGCCTCTCCCGGCCCCTTCCGTTTAGTAGGAGCCGCACAATGAGAGGCGGGGCGAGCTTCCGGCGCTCCAGGGACGGGGCCGACGGGAAATGGAGTTCGGAGTCGCTGCGCCGCCCCGGGGCACGCCGGGAAGTGGAGTCTTCTCTGCCTCGCTCGGCCGCAGGTCGAGCTCTAGCGTTCGGCCCCCGGCGGAGAGGGGCGGGGCCAGGAGTGCTGGGAGCGCTCCCCCATTGGTCGGCATCCGCTCGGGCTCCCGGGGCTAGGGGCCGGTAGCCCGGGTCCTTGGATCTTAATCGTAACCTCACAGCTGACAAAGGAGCCACAGCTTTAGTCCCCATTTTGCAGAGAGGAAAAGTGAGGCCCGCGGTGGCTCAATTCTCATTGTCAGGAACTGGGCACCATATACGGCAGCCGGAGAAACTGAGGCAGAGAGAGGAAACAGCAGACCAAAGAACCTGGACTTCCACATGAAGCCCTTTTCCCCTTCGGGGGGCCGGCGATGGGCTGATCCGTGCGTGGCTCCGCAAAGCCGACCCACCCGGAGGCCAAGGCGGGGTGGGGGGACACCACGCATGATGGGGTTACTGTGGGTATGGAAGTAGGGGGAGGATTCACTCGGCTATGTGGATGACTGAGATTTTCGGAATTGTTAACAGAGAGCATCCAAAGCCCCCCATTTTACAGATGGTAAAGCTGAGGCTCAAAGCGAAGGAAATGATCTGTCCAGGGCCATATGGCTAGGGAGACGCAGGCGGGTACAAAACTCGAACCAACAAAAGGCAAGGCCGCACCCGTCCTCTCACTACCCCTCCCCGCCTACTTCCAGCAAGGGCAGAGACCGCGACTTTGAGCAGCCGAGTTCTGGGGTCGCTAGGCAGGCTCGCCCAGTCGCTTTCCTGTGGGAGGGGAGGAGGGGGCGCGGGCTTCGCAGTCGCCCTAGAGACCAGCCCCCACCCACCCGCTCGCCTGCCGCTCTGGGTTGCCCCAGATCGCCTTATTAGGGCATGAGCCGGGGTGGGGCGGAGCCAGGGAGAGCGCCGGTTCACCGCGCCTTATATGGAAACTGAGCCTTATATGGAAACTGCGGGAGGGCGGGCAGAGGGCTAGCGACGGCTCCGGGGAGCCCCGGCTAGGGGGCAGCCGGCCTGACTGCTGACCTCTGTGCTTGCCCCTGCCCCATTGCATTGAATGCAAAGCCCAGAGTCGGGCGATCTCCACCGTACTTGTGCCAGCGTCTCCTCCAGCCCCCTCTGCACGCTCCTTGTCCAGGCTCTAGTCCCCACTGCACATTCCCCGGACTGTATCCTGGGAGTTCCCAAATATTCCGGGCTCTAGCCAGTTCGCTCTGCGGATTTCCCGGACACTATGGAG